TGGGTTGACAAGGATGGCTGAAAAATAACCCACTAAATAGGTTGTTTTTAATGATCAGCTAGCACAGGGGTGGGTTTCTCGCCCCGTTCCAACCGGTTCGGTTGGAACGGGGCCGGCGGCGTCCTCGGGCATGAGCGCGGTGCACGCATGCGTACTAGCGTCTGCACGACGCTCCAGCTGCTCCTGGAGGATCACGCAGGCGCTGTATGCGTCCTGCGCATGTGTGGAAGCGCAGAACTCGTCAAAACTGGGTAAAGACCACGGGCGGGCGAGCCCTTCGCCGTTCCCGGAAGTTACTTACTTCCGGGTTCGCCGACCAACTGGTTCGCAGGGACCGCCGCGAACCGGTTGAAACCCACCCCTGAGCTAGCAGAAACATCATGTTGTGCCCCCCCGGCCAAGTGAAGGACAGTGAGGAGGTTGGGGAGGAAGATGGGCCAGTCCTGGAGTCTGGGGAAGGCTCTGATGAGGGTTCTGTGTCGGAGGCAGAGAGGGGGCCAGGGCCATCTGACAGTTATCAGCTGCCTTCAGAGTCAGACGTCAGTGAGGCCGACGAACAGTTGTTCCCAGTGAATCAGGAAGATATTTGACTGAACCACTTCCAAATATTATCTTGTCTCCTAAGACTTCTCACCCATTTGCTTAGGTAACAGTTCGTGCATATTTCTATCAAAGCCGCCTCGCTTACTCTCTTTACCATCATAAATAAGATTATTTATCCCACCTTCATTATTGTTATGGTATAAATAACTCAAGGCGACAAATGTACCTAATATTCCTTCCTCCTCTTCCTCATAACAACAACCCTGTGAGGTGAATTGAGCTGAGGGCCCCCCCAATCAACCAAGCAACTTTCATGCCTAAGGTGGGACTAGAACTCCCAGTCTCCTGGTTTCTAGCCAGGTGCTTCCACCACTGGACCAAACTGGCCAACATATTCTTATATTTCAGTTCCGCAACCAATTCTATAATTTGCCTCAGTGTTTCAGTGATGTTTAGAAGATCTTTCCTTGTAACCAGAGAGAGAAGACGGAGTTGTTGTGGCCCGCCAGCAGAGCTGGTAGCGGATTCGGACAGTGAGGAGGTTGGGGAGGAAGATGGGCTAGTCCT